CTTGTTGACATGACATTTGTAATGCTTATGAGATTTGTAGGGCAGCTACTCAGAGCTTCAAGAAGGTGTCAGGCTTTTTGCTTAGCTATATTTCCATAGCCTCACTTAGGCCACCCAAAACTGCAAGGGTTGGCAACAGGCTGTTAAGATGTCTGTCAAGCACACTTGTCTGCAATGTGTAACAAGAACAGAGAAGACCTTGACTGAGTTTCTAACATATAAGTATAGGGGGGAAATTGCACAAGTTTTCTCCAGTTTTCCAACCAAATGTGCAACTCTTGGAAATTTTCAAAACTCTAAATGTTTATGATTTGAGAAGTCAAAAAGAAAAGAAAGAAGAAGAAGCAGCAAAACAGCAATATTTTTTAGAGAGGAAAATATTGAAAATAAAATTGGAAATGTTCCTCCAGAATTTTCTTGTTTGGCTTTTGAGAGCTAGTAATGAAAAAGCTAATAGCAGTAGTGTAGACTTGGCATGAGTGAGATAAAAAAAGATCCTATAGAATATAACTCTTAGCTATCTTTTGCACTCAGCCATTCAGCTGGAAGAACCATACCAACATTATAACTATTTTTTGTTCCTGTTTTTATAGCCAAAAATCGCAGAGGAGACTTTAACATATGCAGAACTTGAGCTGATCAAGCCCCTGCAGGAAGCCAAAGGCATCCCCACTACAACAGTCTACGCACAGATCCTCTTCGAGGAGAATAAGTTGTAAAAGCCTGTGTCTGTAAAGATATTCTTTGTCTGTTTTCTATTTAATTCTTGCTGTGCTGTTTATTTATAAAAATCTTACAAATGTCCTTATTTTTTTACTTCCATTTATGTACTTCTGTATTTTTTATGAGACTTTTTCTAAACCTGTAGTTAAAAGGAATCACAGTGATGGCAAATGATAAACAACAGCCCTTTCAAAAGCTCTTGGTGCCTTGGTTTCTATAGACTAATGGACTACCTGGGTCATTTTAAATGCTAAATACAAAAGAGCCCAGTGGAAACCTCATTTCCACACAAGTCAGTTCTATACCTAGTGCAAGAGTAGAGCTGGTCAAGGATTTGCCAACAGTTTTCAATGAGAAATTCCAGTTCAGCAGTACTGGGACTTCTCTCAGGAAAGCATCAAGCTCAAGGAATATCTTTTCAGCTTGAGAGCTTTTAACATTTTTGAGAAAAGTATGTTTTGATTTAAACCCGTATGTTGCTCTGGGGTGGCGATTTGGGGAAGGGAAAGGGGGTGGGTGCTTGTGGAGGTGAACT